CTAACACCCCTAGTAGCGAGCTCGGAAGGTACATTTGTTCCGATTTCTTGTCACAAATGAGTGTTCAAGAGTTTGAAAATTTTGATATTTTGGCTTGGTGGAAAGGAAAGGAAACCAATTTCCGATTCTAGCCGCTATGGCCCGTGATCTACTAAGCTCCCAAGCTTCTACGGGAGTTTCAGAATCGGCTTTTTCTGTTAGTGGCAGGGTTATATCACCAAGAAGAACAAAAAAAATATGTTGATTCAAGTTGAAACAATTTTGTGCATACATTATGTTTTTGTACATATACACAAACATCAATTTAAAAAAAAAAAACATCAAAAAGTATGTATATTATTAACAAAAACAAAATAAAAAAAAGTGACATTTATATATAGATATATATATATATATATATAGATATATATTATATATATATATATAATATATATTATAATACAATAACCCGTGAGAACCACAGTTATAAAATTAATTAAATTTCATATTAAAAATCAGAATTATTAATCAATTATTTTAAATAAATTATTACTTAAAGATATTTTTTTAGTTATATAAAATTATAATCGTTGATTTAAATAAATACGTGAAGTTATATCACCTTATTAATTTTATTTTATTTTTCAATGTAACGTTATTAATTTAATATAATTAGAGTGAAGAAATTTAAAATTTAAAATTTTAAAATAAGAATCAATTTTATTTTAATATAGTTAGTGGGAAATTTAAAAATTATAATTTGAAATGGATAATCAATTATTAATTTAATGTAATTAGAGTGAAAATTTGAAAAGAATAATTAATAGGTTCCAAGTGGCATGATAGATGATATATAACATTAATGAGAAGTTCTAATTGTATGACACTTGTCAATAGGAGATTAAACCTATTCTTTTATTAGAATAGGGATATATCTTCAATGTCTTAAATGCAACATGTTTAGCCTTATGTAAACAAAATAAAGCATCTCTTAAATAATGTCTTAAAGACAAATTTTAATGCCTGATGTACAACACTCTACTACATGAAGTTAAAAGCAACACGGTTGGAGGATACATTCACTCGGATCGCCAAATTGGAAAATGCATTCACTCGTATTACCAAATCAGTTTTCTTTTTTGTTTATGGGTTGTTGATCAAGTATTCTAATCCAACAGTGCATATACTTCACCCTGATAACACATACAAAGAGTCAAAGACACTCTCACACTCGAATCTTCATTTCAAAAATTGAATCTAAGATATGCTTCTTGATTCCCCACAAACCCTAAAATACATTGTCGTAGAGGCAACAAATCCTGCCACCATATGACTACCACCATACCTGTCGGCGCGCTCTCCATAAACCCCAGCATTCCCATCCTCGGGTTTCTCTCGAAAAACCCTAGCCTCACCAAGCAGATCAAGGTCAAAATCAAGCCCTTTTTTTGTTTGCATAAAGAGCTGGATTAGAGTTATTTATTGTTCACTCCCTTTTTATTGCATTATTTTAAAAGGTATTTTGGTTTTGATACTCATTTGTTTTATGGATTTATTTTCTGGAGATGGATTTTGAAAGAAGGTTAAAGAGCCCATGTTCAACTCTGATTCTATCATGACAAAACTAAAGAATAAAGATGGTTCGTATATTTTTTTTTTCCAAAAATAAAGATCTAAATCTGACCAAATCAAAGAAATAATGAATTTCCCTTTTTAAGTAATCCCAAAGATTCAGATCGAGATTTGATTTGAGGAGAATGCTAATGTACTGTGTGGTCAAGCCTCTGTATTTGTATTTCATTTCTTTTTCCCACGATGAAGGTTTGAGTTTTTAGGTTGAAGGTTAGTGTTTTGAAATTTGTTATGTATTAGCATTACGTTTATTTTAGCCAATATGGACATTTGAGTTTAAGGTGAAGTTGGATGCGTTGGAACTTGTCATTGCTTTTAATAGCTGTCTTAGGATTTCAAGGTCAAGTCCATATCTTGGGGACGATATTAATTAATATGGTTGCAGGAAGATGTTTTATTTGAATACTGATTCTCTTTTAGCTTTATGATCTTAATAATGAACTTCTCATCTTCAATCTTAGCTGGTTTCTAATGAATATAAAGTGCGTAAAGCTGTTGGCATATGCGTTTTTACACTCTCACACAAAAATTGGTTACGGTTAAATGTTTGATATATGAGTTTAGTTTTTGATTTTAATTTTCAGATCTAGAAAGAAAGTAAAGAAGAAGACAGAGCTTCTATTTTTTTGATGTTTATTTTTGTAATCGACAAATTGCTTATTTAGTTTGTTTATGAGCTTTTAGTTATAGACATACTATAGATGTATTCATCATTCCGACTTAAATAGTTTGTATAAGCTACTTTTGTTTATGCGTTTAAAGATGTGTAAATGTTATTTTTTGTTGTTTTGAAGATAATAGAGATTAGTATGAAGTCTTTGTTCTTTTGGTGTTTTTAATAGATTGTTATATTTTGATATTTTGGATATAAGTTGTAAATTACCAACCTTTTGTATAAAACTTTAAGTGTACCGTCTTTATTTTTTATTGTATTTTAAAAACTATCTATCACATTTTGTTTTTATTTATAATTTTTATAGTATGTTATGTTTTTTATTTATAATATATTTATTACATGAAGTGAATTGACTGAATTTCATTTATAACATAATGACCGTGTCTTTTTATTTTTCTTTTGCCAAATATTTTTTAAAGATTTTATAAATGTGACAACCGAAGAAAATCAAAAGTATTAAAAAAATCCATTAACTTTATATGATTGTTTTATTAAAAACCTCTAATAATGAGAAATATGTTGTAAGAAAATTTAATATAAGATACCACATTGAAAAAAATGCTAATTGCAAACTTAGCACCCATCCAAAAAAGAAAAAAAGAAAAAAACCAAAAACAGCCTTAGAAAATGAATTAATCGTCATTCAAATCTATTTCCCAAAAAATCAATCAAAACAACTTAACAAAGGTTTTTATTGACAAGAGTTTAACCAAAATTAAACATATTTATTTTTTATATTCTAAATTTGAAAAATAATTTTCTTTTTACCAGGTAATAGCCTATTTAAAGAAAAATAATCGTCAACAAATATTCTTAGAAATAAAATATTCAACATGATAATTTTCGATGCACACCATATTGAAGGGCTACACACCAACCAAGAAACTGAAATTAACCATCCGACACAAAACAATTCGGCAAAAGGTCGAAAAGAATTGTCCGCCACATGGAAATAATCCCTGAAAAAACTAAGTGGCGCTGCTGCATCCCGCGGGTACCTTACTAGTATATATATATATATATAATATATATATATATATATATATATATATATATATATATATATATATATATAGAGAGAGAGAGAGAGAGAGAGAGAGAGATAGTTAGGTTCAAATGTTTCTAGCAACTATTGTGTGCTTGTAAGAACCAATGAGAATTGAGGAAATAATTAATTATCATAAATAATAGAAGGGTATAATAGTAATCTACACTATAATTAATTATGGTAAAATAAAACAAAATCAATTAATATCCCATTAATTTAGGTTATCAGTTTTACAAATCTATACACCACCATCGATCCCCTCTCTTTCTTTAAATCGTATAGAACCACCATCATATTGGCTTCGACGTCCAGAACCACCATTATCGCAATCACCATTTAACCATTCGGTGCGTACTCGATCCAAATCGCAACAGCAAAATCAATTTGTTTAAATCACAGCATAAACATTCAAAATCAAAGTGAAATAAGCAAAGCAATTGGTTTCTTAAAACCCAGTTCGTTAAATCGATTTCCAATGCTTGAAGCTTACTTTCATCATCGTTGAAGGTATGTATTTTGAGTATTTTCTTTCCATATTTATTTTTCTCTCATAAATTTATTACGAAATCATATTTGTTAATGTTGATTTCGGCAAAGAAATTTCTATTTTTTGCACACATAGTTTCAGATTTAGAAGGCCTCTATTTTTGTCCGCCAACTGTTTGTTAAAATGCTTGAATCAAATATTTCGTCAATTCAAGTATTTATACGCATTTGAAAATTAGCCAATGTAGTTTTGTTAATATGATCTGTTGTTAGTCTAATAAGGTCTTTATTTTCTCTATTTTGACTTTGCTTATGATTAGTTATTCCATAAACATGATGATTTAGTTTGATTTCTTTGAATTAATTCCTTTTTAAGAATATTCAGACCATTCTGGGAGAATATTTACGGTATCATTCTTGCAGATTAAAGCTAGGACAATTGGATAATGCACAAAAGGTGTTTGATAGAATGCATAAGAGATGTTTCAAGCCAAATTCTTGGTAATTGACTAATTCCATAGTTAAAACATAGTTTCTAGTAATCTTAGACATGGATTCTGTTATATTCTATGTATTATGTCAAAATGTATTCTATTTTTATGTCATATTCTATGTATTATGCCATATTCTGCGAGAATGTATTCTGTAATATAACATGTATTCTATCAGAATTATTAGTAACATATATTTTATGTAATATTTATTCTCATAAAATGAACAGGCCTTAGTTTTCATATAAGAAACTCAGTATAGAATAAAATGTGTGATAAATCATTTAAATTGACTCTTCCCACTCAATTGTATTTCGTTTCATAGTTGTTTAGGAAATCGAATGGATGAATGTTTGAGTGTTTAGGAAATCGAATGGATGAATGTTTGAGTGTGTACACAAAATAGTTGATTATTTGACGTTAAAAAGTAAATTGAGTGGTTGCATCTGATTTTATAGTTTTATTCTGATCAAATTTACATACAAAGGTTCAATTCTATCAGAATGGTTGTATTATATACTTAAGAAAAATTTCACTTCTTTATTGTTTACCATATTCTATCAGAATGGTTGTATTATATACTTAAGAAAAATTTCACTTCTTTATTGTTTACCATATTCTATCAGAATTTATAGTTTTATTCTTTTATAATGTACATAATTTAGAATGCTCATGGTGAATGTATAGAATGTTACTAGAAAGCTTTTCAAAGTATCATTGTGGCATAGGGGGGATATTTGTTGAAGGCATAGAGTTTAAGGTCATCCCAAGCGTAAATCAAATAGTTAGTGTACCTCTCTTCTTTTTTGTATTTATTTTGGGGAAATTTGTATAAAAATGTCATTTCGTGGTCATCTAATTGTCTATAGGTGGACTTAGAACAAAATAAAAAGATGAAGGATGGAACAAACATGGGAGGAGTCTTGAAAACAAAGTTGGAGATGGACTCAGTGGAACAAATGATAGCCGATAATAAAGAAATTATTAAAAGGTCTGGAAACAATGTCCAAATTGCCTCAAGTGTAGAGCTCTGCTTACTTCTTTTCAAGGGAATTCTCATTGACAATGGTGAAACGGTCTGATGTTTTTCTTTTCTTTTTCATAAAACAAATTCAACTTGATAAATTAATTACATATTCTTGTGGTATCATAATGATAAACTTGTAACTCTTTTATGAACAGTTATTCTCCCTAAGCAAAGTCAACGGGAAGAGATGTCATATGCTACCTGCAAAAGCAATTATATACAACTCTTCAAATATAAAGTTGTGCAACCCTCCAACTGAATCCAGGTTTACTTTATTACACCTTTCATCTCAGGTTTACTTTAGCAGATTTCATGGAATCACTGATATTTATAAGACTTAATTAATGTAGGTGCAGATTTGAAGAGGTTGTTGAGATTCTATCTCACCAGGATTTTCGTATCAAATGTGACATTGAGACCAAAATGCTCTCATCAGATACAACCTATGCTTGTTTCCTTGTGTTCAAACTTTCAAAAAAAATGTCATGGGCTCCAGTGCCCAGTGAAGGCTCGTGATTTAGTACCCCATAGAAAGGAAAGAACCAAAATCATTTCTTTCAGGTACCCAAGCACAGTGAATTTGGACAGAATCAAATGGATTCCAGAACAGAGAGAAGATGAATGGATGGAGGTTATAGTGTGGGAAACTAACGTTGATAACATGCATAATGATGATATGTACCTATGGATTTAAAACTGACATGTTTCGAAGGAAATATCAGGTCTTATTGTATATGGCATTGACTTCCGTCCTACAGTATAAGTGTATATTACGTAACATTTATATATGTTCTTCTAAGTGTATAGTAACTGTTGTTATTTTGTAATTTTATATTAACTTATGCTCAATAGAAGATATTTCCCCAATACTAATTAAGCAGCGCATAGTTAATTGCATGTCTTTACAAGACAAGATAAAATCCTTTTTTTTAAGAGGGAAAATTACAAAGTAAATAAAATACACACAAGAGCTACATCTTTTTTATATGGCATCAAAAAGTTACAGGGGTGTAATACTATTAAAACCAGAATACATACCAGTAGAATTAATGTATATATCCTGAAGTGGACATACATGGTGATCACCAACTATTTTCATACCATGAACGAAGCCTTCATAAACGACTCCAAAAACTGGGTCGCTCATAGAACCCAGATGATGCTGACAAACGGATGAGTGATAGACATCATCCTCAGACGCTGAACTTTCAACACACTTGTATAAAATTGATTTCTTTCACAGATAAGGTCATTCATTTTCAAAAGACCCCTCTCTCTATATTCAAGACATTATTAAAAAAGCAAGGTTTCTCTACTTCGGTGACCTATATGTACTCTTGGAATTTGGTAATGAAAATGGTGCAAAAGATTTTGACTGTGAAGAGAGAAGTTTGCTCCAAGCGGTTCTGTTGATTATTCCCATGGAAAAAAAGATTTCATTTATAATGTATCTGGCTTCCCATGCCTTGTCATATCCCATAATTGTTGGGCAATTTGGTAAAGTTCTCGTTCCTTTTACTCTATAGATTCTGATGACCCTAATCTTTCTTTTGGTCGTATCTTTACTCTCTTCCAGATTTTTTATCGAATCTTGATTAATTTTGGTCGTATCTTTACTCTCTTGCAGATTTTTTTGTCGAATCTTGATTAATATAGGGCTTGATGGGGCTACGATTTAAGGTTCGTCTCAAAGAAGAGCAAAAGAAAATTTCAATTTACGGCGGAATCGGAAAATTAAATCGCTTTGGAGTCGATTTTAGACCCTATTGGTGAAACATCAATGCCAATCATGATTCTTTTGACTCAGACGAGCTTTTCATGATGAAGCTATTCGAAAACATGGTTGTATCGATTCCTGAAACCACATTCCCGTTAATCCTCTCGGCGGTGCCTCTGCCGCTGATGCGCCTCCTCTCCGGCCCTCCCAATATCTCTTGGACTTCATCATCGGCCTCCAGTGATCCAATCTGTCGTATTCCTCCTCCACGAGTTTTGGGCTCTTTGAATACTGAATTTTGGAGTGGCAGCCCGTGAGCCCACTAAGAGTGCAGAAAAGATGTGGGCGGGGCTAGGCGTGTGCAAAAAAACCGGTTCATGAACCGAACCGGCCTCCGATCCGAAAACCGGTTTAGCCTTGAACCGGTTCAGCCATGAACCGAACTGCCAGTTTGAGCTGGATCTCCATTCCAACCGTTGGGACCGGTTTACGTCGACCCGGTTTTGGACCGGTTTTGAACCGGTTTTTCGAGAAGGGGTAATCTGCCCTTTTTTTGTCTTATTCTACCGGCTATATAGCCGTTTTATGGCTGTTGCAATCTCGTTTTTGGGTCCCTTTTGGCAATATTCACCAATATTGATAGTATAAATAGCTAATAGATATATTGGGTTAACCAAACCTCAAAAAACCTGTCTTAGATAAAAAAAACGCTCTTAATTCAAGCAATTGATTCGACTTCCGTTGGTGTTGGAGATTCATCAAACAATCTTACAGTTGTTAGCATCAAAGAAACAAATAGAAATCCGGTTATTTGGTGCAATTTTGATTTATGTGTAATGTCGAGCGGTCCAAGAAAAGCGCGATGCAAGAAATGTGATGCTTTTTTCAATGAAGATGAGAATTCGACATTGAAAACTCATATGACCAAGAGATGCCCCGTGGTGAAATTTGGGCTGGTACATAATCAAACAACAATGGCGAATGATACAACATTGTGGAGTTACGATTTGGCTAAAGTTCGGGATAGGATGACGAAGTTCGTGATTCAATAATGCTTGTCTTTTGACCACTTCGACAAGAAACGATTGACTTCACTCACCCAAGATACTCTCCAACCATGATATTGACATGTGAGTCGTACTTCTATTAGACGTAATTGTATTGAAATGTGGAAACTTGCAAAAAATGAAATGATTTTAGGATTTCAATCTTTAGAAACCGGTGTGAATTTAACTTGTGATGTTTGGACGGCTCCTCACGGTTCACCGAATGCGTACCTTTGTGTTACCGCTCATTGGATTAATCCAAATATTGGGTAATGATGAAGCGTACGATTACGTTTGAATTGTTTAGTATCCGCACACCGATAGAAATTTATTTAAAATTTTAGATTGTGTGATCAAAACTTATAAACTTGAAAGAAAGGTTTTATTAATATCTTTGATAATGCATCAAACAACACCGTACTGGTTCGACAACTAAAACTAAAATATAAACCAATTGCGATGGTGTTTTTTTCATAGTCGATGTGTTGCACATATCATTAATTTGCAAGATGGACTAACTAGCATTGAAGAAATGCCTCCCATTATTACTTGTTGTGCCGCTTTGAATCCGACTCTAAATATTGGGGGGGGGGGGGGGTTGAGACTTTAATTGAAAATATTTGTTACGATTTGGGTTTATTGGATAATGACATGGATTATGCATCAAATGAAGTTTCAAAATTTAACAAAGTTTTTCAAAATTTGTTTGAAGTTTATTTAACAAAATATGGTTCAACAAACATTCATGACATGATGCAAAATACGGAGGCATCCGGATCCACCTCTCACCAAAATAACGAAACAATTCAGCTCTATAATACTTTGAGGAATGAAAATTCCAAACGAGCTCGGTCTAACACCCCTAGTAGCGAGCTCGGAAGGTACAGTGGTTCCGATTTCTTGTCACAAATGAGTGTTCAAGAGTTTGAAAATTTTGATATTTTGGCTAGGTGGAAAGGAAAGGAAACCCAATTTCTGATTCTAGCCGCTATGGCCCGTGATCTACTAATTGAAAATATTTGTTACGATTTGGGTTTATTGGATAATGACATAGATTATGCATCAAACGAAGTTTCAAAATTTAACAAAGTTTTTCAAAATTTGTTTGAAGTTTATTTAACAAAATATGGTTCAACAAACATTCATGACATGATGCAAAATACGGAGGCATCCGAATCCACCTCTCACCAAAATAACGAAACAATTCAGCTCTATAATACTTTGAGGAATGAAAATTCCAAACGAGCTCGGTCTAACACCCCTAGTAGCGAGCTCGGAAGGTACATTGGTTCCGATTTCTTGTCACAAATGAGTGTTCAAGAGTTTGAAAATTTTGATATTTTGGCTTGGTGGAAAGGAAAGGAAACCCAATTTCCGATTCTAGCCGCTATGGCCCGTGATCTACTAAGCTCCCAAGCTTCTACGGTAGTTTCAGAATCGGCTTTTCTGTTAGTGGCAGGGTTATATCACCAAGAAGAACAAAAAATATGTTGATTCAAGTTGAACAATTTTGTGCATACATTATGTTTTTGTACATATACACAAACATCAAATTTAAAACCAAAAAAAACATCAAAAGTATGTATATTATTAAACAAGAAACAAAATAAAAAAAAAGTGACATTTATATATATATATATATATATATATATAATATATATTATATATATATATATATATATATATATATTATAATACAATAACCCGTGAGAACCACAGTTATAAAATTAATTAAATTTTCATATTAAAAAATCAGAATTATTAATCAATTATTTTAAATAAATTATTACTTAAAAGATATTTTTTTAGTTATATAAAATTATAATCGTTGATTTAAATAAATACGTGAAGTTATATTACCTTATTATATTTATTTTATTTTTCAATGTAACGTTATTAATTTAATATAATTAGAGTGAAGAAATTTAAAATTTAAAATTTAAAATAAAGAATCATTTTTATTTTAATATAGTTAGAGTGGGAAATTTAAAAATTATAATTTGAAATGGATAATCAATTATTAATTTAATGTAATTAGAGTGAAAATTTGAAAAGAATAATTAATAGGTTGACAAGTGGCATGATAGATGATATATAACATTAATGAGAAGTTCTAATTGTATGACACTTGTCAATAGGAGATTAAACCTATTCTTTTATTAGAATAGGGATATATCTTCAATGTCTTAAATGCAACATGTTAAGCCTTATGTACAACAAAATAAAGCATCTCTTAAATAAATGTCTTAAAGACAAATTTTAATGCCTGATGTACAACACTCTACTACATGAAGTTAAAAGCAACACGGTTGGAGGATACATTCACTCGGATCGCCAAATTGGAAAATGCATTCACTCGTATTACCAAATCAGTTTTCTTTTTTGTTTATGGGTTGTTGATCAAGTATTCTAATCCAACAGTGCATATACTTCACCCTGATAACACATACAAAGAGTCAAAGACACTCTCACACTCGAATCTTCATTTCAAAAATTGAATCTAAGAATATGCTTCTTGATTCCCCACAAACCCTAAAATACATTGTCGTAGAGGCAACAAATCCTGCCACCATATGACTACCACCATACCTGTCGGCGCTCTCCATAAACCCCAGCATTCCCATCCTCGGGTTTCTCTCGAAAAACCCTAGCCTCACCAAGCAGATCAAGGTCAAAATCAAGCCCTTTTTTTGTTTGCATAAAGAGCTGGATTAGAGTTATTTATTGTTCACTCCCTTTTTATTGCATTATTTTAAAAGGTATTTTGGTTTTTGATACTCATTTGTTTTATGGATTTATTTTCTGGAGAATGGATTTTGAAAGAAGGTTAAAGAGCCCATGTTCAACTCTGATTCTATCATGACAAAACTAAAGAATAAAGATGGTTCGTATATTTTTTTTTCCAAAAATAAAGATCTAAATCTGACCAAATCAAAGAAATAATTTAATCCCTTTTTAAGTAATCCCAAAGATTCAGATCGAGATTTGATTTGAGGAGAATGCTAATGTACTGTGTGGTCAAGCCTCTGTATTTGTATTTCATTTCTTTTTCCCACGATGAAGGTTTGAGTTTTTAGGTTGAAGGTTAGTGTTTTGAAATTTGTTATGTATTAGCATTACGTTTATTTTAGCCAATATGGACATTTGAGTTTAAGGTGAAGTTGGATGCGTTGGAACTTGTCATTGCTTTTAATAGCTGTCTTAGGATTTCAAGGGTCAAGTCCATATCTTGGGGACGATATTAATTAATATGGTTGCAGGAAGATGTTTTTTTGAATACTGATTCTCTTTTAGCTTTATGATCTTAATAATGAACTTCTCATCTTCAATCTTAGCTTGGTTTCTAATGAATATAAAGTGCGTAAAGCTGTTGGCATATGCGTTTTTATCACTCTCACACAAAAATTGGTTACGGTTAAATGTTTGATATATGAGTTTAGTTTTTGATTTTAATTTTCAGATCTAGAAAGGTAAAGAAGAAGACAGAGCTTCTATTTTTTTGATGTTTATTTTTTGTAATCGACAAATTGCTTATTTAGTTTGTTTATGAGCTTTTAGTTATAGACATACTATAGATGTATTCATCATTCCGACTTAAATAGTTTGTATAAGCTACTTTTGTTTATGCGTTTAAAGATGTGTAAATGTTATTATTTTGTTGTTTTTGAAGATAATAGAGATTAGTATGAAGTCTTTGTTCTTTTGGTGTTTTTAATAGATTGTTATATTTTGATATTTTGGATATAAGTTGTAAATTACCAACCTTTTGTATAAAACTTTAAAGTGTACCGTCTTTATTTTTTATTGTATTTTAAAAACTATCTATCACATTTTGTTTTTATTTATAATATTTTTATAGTATGTTATGTTTTTATTTATAATATATTTATTACATGAAGTGAATTGACTGAATTTCATTTATAACATAATGACCGTGTCTTTTTATTTTTCTTTTGCCAAATATTTTTTTAAAGATTTATAAATGTGACAACCGAAGAAAATCAAAAGTATTAAAAAAATCCCATTAACTTTATATGATTGTTTTTATTAAAAACCTCTAATAATGAGAAAATATGTTGTAAGAAAATTTAATATAAGATACCACATTGAAAAAAATGCTAATTGCAAACTTAGCACCCATCCAAAAAAGAAAAAAAAGAAAAAAAACCAAAAACAGCCTTAGAAAATGAATTAATCGTCATTCAAATCTATTTACCAAAAAAATCAATTCAAAACAACTTAACAAAGGTTTTTATTGACAAGAGTTTAACCAAAATTATAACATATTTATTTTTATTCTAAATTTGAAAAATAATTTTCTTTTTACCAGGTAATAGCCTATTTAAAGAAAAATAATCGTCAACAAATATTCTTAGAAATAAAATATTCAACATGAATAATTTTCGATGCACACCATATTGAAGGGCTACACACCAACCAAGAAACTGAAATTAACCATCCGACACAAAACAATTCGGCAAAAGGTCGAAAAGAATTGTCCGCCACATGGAAATAATCCGCTGAAAAAAACTAAGTGGCGCTGCTGCATCCCGCGGGTACCTTACTAGTATATATATATATATATATATATATATATATATATATATATATATATATATATATATATATATATATATATATATATAGAGAGAGAGAGAGAGAGAGAGAGATAGTTAGGTTCAAATGTTTCTAGCAACTATTGTGTGCTTGTAAGAACCAATGAGAATTGAGGAAATAATTAAATTATCATAAATAATAGAAGGGTATAATAGTAATCTACACTATAATTAATTATGGTAAAATAAAACAAAATCAATTAATATCCCATTAATTTAGGTTATCAGTTTTACAAATCTATACACCACCATCGATCCCCTCTCTTTCTTTAAATCGTATAGAACCACCATCATATTGGCTTCGACGTCCAGAACCACCATTATCGCAATCACCATTTAACCATTCGGTGCGTACTCGATCCAAATCGCAACAGCAAAATCAATTTGTTTAAATCACAGCATAAACATTCAAAATCAAAGTGAAATAAGCAAAGCAATTGGTTTCTTAAAAACCCAGTTCGTTAAATCGATTTCCAATGCTTGAAGCTTACTTTCATCATCGTTGAAGGTATGTATTTTGAGTATTTTCTTTCCATATTTATTTTTCTCATAAATTTATTACGAAATCATATTTGTTAATGTTGATTTCGGCAAAGAAATTTCTATTTTTTGCACACATAGTTTCAGATTTAGAAGGCATCTATTTTTGCCCGCCAACTGTTTGTTAAAATGCTTGAATCAAATATTTCGTCAATTCAAGTATTTATACGCATTTGAAAATTAGCCAATGTAGTTTTGTTAATATGATCTGTTGTTAGTCTAATAAGGTCTTTATTTTCTCTATTTTGACTTTGCTTATGATTAGTTATTCCATAAACATGATGATTTAGTTTGATTTCTTTGAATTAATTTCATACTTTTTAAGAATATTCAGAACCATTCTGGGAGAATATTTACGGTATCATTCTTGCAGATTAAAGCTAGGACAATTGGATAATGCACAAAAGGTGTTTGATAGAATGCATAAGAGATGTTTCAAGCCAAATTCTTGGTAATTGACTAATTCCATAGTTAAAACATAGTTTCTAGTAATCTTAGACATGGATTCTGTTATATTCTATGTATTATGTCAAAATGTATTCTATTTTATGTCATATTCTATGTATTATGCCATATTCTGCGAGAATGTATTCTGTAATATAACATGTATTCTGTCAGAATTATTAGTAACATATATTTTATGTAATATTTATTCTCATAAAATGAACAGGCCTTAGTTTTCATATAAGAAACTCAGTATAGAATAAAATGTGTGATAAATCATTTAAATTGACTCTTCCCACTCAATTGTATTTCGTTTCATAGTTGTTTAGGAAATCGAATGGATGAATGTTTGAGTGTTTAGGAAATCGAATGGATGAATGTTTGAGTGTGTACACAAAATAGTTGATTATTTGACATTAAAAAGTAAATTGAGTGGTTGCATCTGATTTTATAGTTTTATTCTGATCAAATTTACATACAAAGGTTCAATATCTATCACATTCTATCAGAATGGTTGTATTATATACTTAAGAAAAATTTCACTTCTTTATTGTTTACCATATTCTATCAGAATTTATAGTTTTATTCTTTTATAATGTACATAATTTAGAATGCTCATGGTGAATGTATAGAATGTTACTAGAAAGCTTTTCAAAGTATCATTGTGGCATAGGGGGGATATTTGTTGAAGGCATAGAGTTTAAGGTCATCCCAAGCGTAAATCAAATAGTTAGTGTACCTCTCTTCTTTTTTGTATTTATTTTGGGGAAATTTGTATAAAAATGTCATTTCGTGGTCATCTAATTGTCTATAGGTGGACTTAGAACAAAATAAAAAGATGAAGGATGGAACAAACATGGGAGGAGTCTTGAAAACAAAGTTGGAGATGGACTCAGTGGAACAAATGATAGCCGATAATAAAGAAATTATTAAAAGGTCTGGAAACAATGTCCAAATTGCCTCAAGTGTAGAGCTCTGCTTACTTCTTTTCAAGGGAATTCTCATTGACAATGGTGAAACGGTCTGATGTTTTTCTTTTTCATAAAACAAATTCAACTTGATAAATTAATTACATATTCTTGTGGTATCATAATGATAAACTTGTAACTCTTTTATGAACAGTTATTCTCCCTAAGCAAAGTCAACGGGAAGAGATGTCATATGCTACCTGCAAAAGCAATTATATACAACTCTTCAAATATAAAGTTGTGCAACCCTCCAACTGAATCCAGGTTTACTTTATTACACCTTTCATCTCAGGTTTACTTTAGCAGATTTCATGGAATCACTGATATTTATAAGACTTAATTAATGTAGGTGCAGATTTGAAGAGGTTGTTGAGATTCTATCTCACCAGGATTTTCGTATCAAATGTGACATTGAGACCAAAATGCTCTCATCAGATACAACCTATGCTTGTTTCCTTGTGTTCAAACTTTCAAAAAAATGTCATGGGCTCCAGTGCCCAGTGAAGGCTCGTGATTTAGTACCCCATAGAAAGGAAAGAACCAAAATCATTTCTTTCAGGTACCCAAGCACAGTGAATTTGGACAGAATCAAATGGATTCCAGAACAGAGAGAAGATGAATGGATGGAGGTTATAGTGTGGGAAACTAACGTTGATAACATGCATAATGATGAGTATGTACCTATGGATTTAAAACTGACATGTTTCGAAGGAAATATGTCAGGTCTTATTGTATATGGCATTGACTTCCGTCCTACAGTATAAGTGTATATTACGTAACATTTATATATGTTCTTCTAAGTGTATAGTAACTGTTGTTATTTTGTAATTTTATATTAACTTATGCTCAATAGAAGATATTTCCCCAATACTAATTAAGCAGCGCATAGTTAATTGCATGTCTTTACAAGACAAGATAAAATCCTTTTTTATAAGAGGGAAAATTACAAAGTAAAATAAAATACACACAAGAGCTACATCTTTTTTATATGGCATCAAAAAGTTACAGGGGTGTAATACTATTAAAACCAGAATACATACCAGTAGAATTAATGTATATATCCTGAAGTGGACATACATGGTGATCACCAACTATTTTCATACCATGAACGAAGCCTTCATAAACGACTCCAAAAACTGGGTCGCTCATAGAACCCAGATGATGCTGACAAACGGATGAGTGATAGACATCATCCTCAGACGCTGAACTTTCAACACACTTGTATAAAATTGATTTCTTTCACAGATAAGGTCATTCATTTTCAAAAGACCCTCTCTCTATATTCAAGACATTATTAAAAAAGCAAGGTTTCTCTACTTCGGTGACCTATATGTACTCTTGGAATTTGGTAATGAAAATGGTGCAAAAGATTTTGACTGTGAAGAGAGAAGTTTGCTCCAAGCGGTTCTGTTGATTATTCCCATGGAAAAAAAGATTTCATTTATAATGTATCTGGCTTCCCATGCCTTGTCATATCCCATAATTGTTGGGCAATTTGGTAAAGTTCTCGTTCCTTTTACTCTATAGATTCTGATGACCCTAATCTTTCTTTTGGTCGTATCTTTACTCTCTTCCAGATTTTTTATCGAATCTTGATTAATTTTGGTCGTATCTTTACTCTCTTGCAGATTTTTGTCGAATCTTGATTAATATAGGGCTTGATGGGGCTACGATTTAAGGTTCGTCTCAAAGAAGAGCAAAAGAAAATTTCAATTTACGGCGGAATCGGAAAATTAAATCGCTTTGGAGTCGATTTTAGACCCTATTGGTGAAACATCAATGCCAATCATGATTCTTTTGACTCAGACGAGCTTTTTCATGATGAAGCTATTCGAAAACATGGTTGTATCGATTCCTGAAACCACATTCCCGTTAATCCTCTCGGCGGTGCCTCTGCCGCTCATGCGCCTCCTCTCCGGCCCTCCCAATATCTCTTGGACTTCATCATCGGCCTCCAGTGATCCAATCTGTCGTATTCCTCCTCCACGAGTTTTGGGCTCTTTGAATACTGAATTTTGGAGTGGCAGCCCGTGAGCCCACTAAGAGTGCAGAAAAGATGTGGGCGGGGCTAGGCGTGTGCAAAAAAACCGGTTCATGAACCGAACCGGCCTCCAATCCGAAAACCGGTTTAGCCTTGAACCGGTTCAGCCATGAACCGAACTGCCAGTTTGAGCTGGATCTCCATTCCAACCGTTGGGACCGGTTTACGTCGACCCGGTTTTGGACCGGTTTTGAACCGGTTTTTCGAGAAGGGGTAATCTGCCCTTTTTTTGTCTTATTCTACCGGCTATATAGCCGTTTTATGGCTGTTGCAATCTCGTTTTTGGGTCCTTTTTGGCAATATTCACCAATATTTGATAGTATAAATAGCTAATAGATATATTGGGTTAACCAAACCTCAAAAAACCTGTCTTAGATAAAAAAAACGCTCTTAATTCAAGCAATTGATTCGACTTCCGTTGGTGTTGGAGATTCATCAAACAATCTTACAGTTGTTAGCATCAAAGAAACAAATAGAAATCCGGTTATTTGGTGCAATTTTGATTTATGTGTAATGTCGAGCGGTCCAAGAAAAGCGCGATGCAAGAAATGTGATGCTTTTTTCAATGAAGATGAGAATTCGACATTGAAAACTCATATGACCAAGAGATGCCCCGTGGTGAAATTTGGGCTGGTACATAATCAAACAACAATGACGAATGATACAACATTGTGGAGTTACGATTTGGCTAAAGTTCGGGATAGGATGACGAAGTTCGTGATTCAATAATGCTTGTCTTTTGACCACTTCGACAAGAAACGATTGACTTCACTCACCCAAGATACTCTCCAACCATGATATTGACATGTGAGTCGTACTTCTATTAGACGTAATTGTATTGAAATGTGGAAACTTGCAAAAAATGAAATGATTTTAGGATTTCAATCTTTAGAAACCGGTGTGAATTTAACTTGTGATGTTTGGACGGCTCCTCACGGTTCACCGAATGCGTACCTTTGTGTTACCGCTCATTGGATTAATCCAAATAATTGGGTAATGATGAAGCGTACGATTACGTTTGAATTGTTTAGTATCCGCACACCGATAGAAATTTATTTAAAATTTTAGATTGTGTGATCAAAACTTATAAACTTGAAAGAAAGGTTTTATTAATATCTTTTGATAATGCATCAAACAACACCGTACTGGTTCGACAACTAAAACTAAAATATAAACCAATTGCGATGGTGTTTTTTTCATAGTCGATGTGTTGCACATATCATTAATTTGCAAGATGGACTAACTAGCATTGAAGAAATGCCTCCCATTATTACTTGTTGTGCCGCTTTGAATCCGACTCTAAATATTGGGGGGGGGGGGTTGAGACTTTAATTGAAAATATTTGTTACGATTTGGGTTTATTGGATAATGACATGGATTATGCATCAAATGAAGTTTCAAAATTTAACAAAGTTTTTCAAAATTTGTTTGAAGTTTATTTAACAAAATATGGTTCAACAAACATTCATGACATGATGCAAAATACGGAGGCATCCGGATCCACCTCTCACCAAAATAACGAAACAATTCAGCTCTATAATACTTTGAGGAATGAAAATTCCAAACGAGCTCGGTCTAACACCCCTAGTAGCGAGCTCGGAAGGTATAGTGGTTCCGATTTCTTGTCACAAATGAGTGTTCAAGAGTTTGAAAATTTTGATATTTTGGCTAGGTGGAAAGGAAAGGAAACCCAATTTCTGATTCTAGCCGCTATGGCCCGTGATCTACTAATTGAAAATATTTGTTACGATTTGGGTTTATTGGATAATGACATAGATTATGCATCAAACGAAGTTTCAAAATTTAACAAAGTTTTTCAAAATTTGTTTGAAGTTTATTTAACAAAATATGGTTCAACAAACATTCATGACATGATGCAAAGGCATCCGAATCCACCTCTCACCAAAATAACGAAACAATTCAGCTCTATAATACTTTGAGGAATGAAAATTCCAAACGAGCTCGGTCTAACACCCCTAGTAGCGAGCTCGGAAGGTACATTGGTTCCGATTTCTTGTCACAAATGAGTGTTCAAGAGTTTGAAAATTTTGATATTTTGGCTTGGTGGAAAGGAAAGGAAACCAATTTCCGATTCTAGCCGCTATGGCCCGTGATCTACTAAGCTCCCAAGCTTCTACGGTAGTTTCAGAATCGGCTTTTTCTGTTAGTGGCAGGGTTATATCACCAAGAAGAACAAAAAAATATGTTGATTCAAGTTGAACAATTTTGTGCATACATTATGTTTTTGTACATATACACAAACATCAAATTTAAAACCAAAAAAAACATCAAAAAGTATGTATATTATTAAACAAGAAACAAAATAAAAAAAAGTGACATTTAATATATATATATATATATATATATATATATATATATATATATATATAGATATATATATATATATATATATATATATATATATATATATATATTAATACACTTGTTTATAACCCGTGAGAACCACAGTTATAAAATTAATTAAATTTTCATATTAAAAAATCAGAATTATTAATCAATTATTTTAAATAAATTATTACTTAAAAGATATTTTTTTAGTTATATAAAATTATAATCGTTGATTTAAATAAATACGTGAAGTTATATCACCTTATTAATTTTATTTTATTTTTCAATGTAACGTTATTAATTTAATATAATTAGAGTGAGAAATTTAAAATTTAAAATTTAAAATAAAGAATCAATTTTTATTTTAATATAGTTAGAATGGGAAATTTAAAAATTATAATTTGAAATGGATAATCAATTATTAATTTAATGTAATTAGAGTGAAATTTTGAAAAGAATAATTAATAGGTTGACAAGTGGCATGATAGATGATATATAACATTAATGAGAAGTTCTAATTGTATGACACTTGTCAATAGGAGATTAAACCTATTCTTTTATTAGAATAGGGATATATCTTCAATGTCTTAAATGCAACATGTTAAGCCTTATGTACAACAAAATAAAGCATCTCTTAAATAAATGTCTTAAAGACAAATTTTAATGCCTGATGTACAACACTCTACTACATGAAGTTAAAAGCAACACGGTTGGAGGATACATTTACTCGGATTGCCAAATTGGAAAATGCATTCACTCGTATTACCAAATCAGTTTTCTTTTTTGTTTATGGGTCGTTGATCAAGTATTCTAATCCAACAGTGCATATACTTCACCCTGATAACACATACAAAGAGTCAAAGACACTCTCACAGTCAAATCTTCATTTCAAAAATTGAATCTAAGAATATGCTTCTTGATTCCCCACAAACCCTAAAATACATTGTCGTAGAGGCAACAAATCCTGCCACCATATGACTACCACCATACCTGTCGGCGCTCTCCATAAACCCCAACATTCCCATCCTCGGGTTTCTCTCGAAAAACCCTAGCCTCACCAAGCAAATCAAGGTCAAAATCAAGCCCTTTTTTTGTTTGCATAAAGAGCTGGATTAGAGTTATTTATTGTTCACTCCCTTTTTATTGCATTATTTTAAAAGGTATTTTGGTTTTTGATACTCATTTGTTTTATGGATTTATTTTCTGGAGAATGGATTTTGAAAGAAGGTTAAAGAGCCCATGTTCAACTCTGATTCTATCATGACAAAAAAAGAATAAAGATGGTTCGTATATTTTTTTTTTCCAAAAATAAAGATCTAAATCTGACCAAATCAAAGAAATAATTTAATCCCTTTTTAAGTAATCCCAAAGATTTAGATCGAGATTTGATTTGAGGAGAATGCTAATGTACTGTGTGGTCAAGCCTCTGTATTTGTATTTCATTTCTTTTTCCCACGATGAAGGTTTGAGTTTTTAGGTTGAAGGTTAGTGTTTTGAAATTTGTTCTGTATTAGCATTACGTTTATTTTAGCCAATATGGACATTTGAGTTTAAGGTGAAGTTGGATGCGTTGGAACTTGTCATTGCTTTTAATAGCTGTCTTAGGATTTCAAGGGTCAAGTCCATATCTTGGGGACGATATTAATTAATATGGTTGCAGGAAGATGTTTGATTTGAATACTGATTCTCTTTTAGCTTTATGATCTTAATAATGAACTTCTCATCTTCAATCTTAGCTTGGTTTCCAATGAATATAAAATCCGTAAAGCTGTTGGCATATGCGTTTTTATCACTCTCACACAAAAATTGGTTACGGTTAAATGTTTGATATATGAGTTTAGTTTTTGATTTTAATTTTCAGATCTAGAAAGGTAAAGAAGAAGACAGAGCTTCTATTTTTTTGATGTTTATTTTTTGTAATCGACAAATTGCTTATTTAGTTTGTTTATGAGCTTTTAGTTATAGACATACTATAGATGTATTCATCATTCCGACTTAAATAGTTTGTATAAGCTACTTTTGTTTATGCGTTTAAAGATGTGTAAATGTTATTATTTTGTTGTTTGTGAAGATAATAGAGATTAGTAGGAAGTCTTTGTTCTTTTGGTGTTTTTAATAGATTGTTATATTTTGATATTTTGGATATAAGTTGTAAATTACCAACCTTTTGTATAAAACTTTAAAGTGTACCGTCTTTATTTTTTATTGTATTTTAAAAACTATCTATCACATTTTGTTTTTATTTATAATATTTTTATAGTATGTTATGTTTTTATTTATAATATATTTATTACATGAAGTGAATTGACTGAATTTCATTTATAACATAATGACCGTGTCTTTTTATTTTTCTTTTGCCAAATATTTTTTTAAAGATTTATAAATGTGACAACCGAAGAAAATCAAAAGTATTAAAAAAATCCCATTAACTTTATATGATTGTTTTTATTAAAAATATGTAATAATGAGAAAATATGTTGTAAGAAAATTTAATATAAGATACCACATTGAAAAAAATGCTAATTGCAAACTTAGCACCCATCCAAAAAAGAAAAAAAAAGAAAAAAACCAAAACAAACAGCCTTAGAAAATGAATTAATCGTCATTCAAATCTATTTACCAAAAAAATCAATTCAAGACAACT